CGGTTTCCACCTTTACCAGTTCCACGTGATGTATGTTTTTTGTTATGCGATTTTTGTTGCTGGTTTTCTAATTTGCCGGTAACATTGGAAGAACTACCGACATCACGAGAACTCGATTGGCCAGTACCGGAACGATGGAAATCGGTATTAACATCACCCTTATGGGCCAAATTGGCTTCGAGATTCTCCTCTGCATTGAGTTCATGATGAATTCCATTGTGTCCATTTGGATGGGTTTGATTATATTGCAAATCAGCATGCATATTTTCAGCAGCGTCGTCTTCATTATGGATATTTTTCTTTGTGACCTCAGCATAAGATTGAGACGACATCTTTTATAATGAAAAAAATTTTAAAGATGTTTACTGAATGCAGTTTTTTTTTTGTAATTGTCAGAAGAATTCTTTTTTTCAGAAAAAAAAATGAAATTGCGTTATTTTAAAGAGAAAAAAAAAAGTAGTAAATCAGCAATCCTTGATTAATTGATAGCCAATCAATTGATTAACTGATACGTAATGAATTAATTTCGCGCGTGTTGGTCCGGCTTCTATTCGTGTGGGCGTACAGAAAGTTTTTTTTTTCATTCAATATAAATTTATATAGCTTAATAGCAATGACATAGAAATCTAATAAAAAAACCCAAATTTTTAAAAGGAATTGTTCTATGTACTGTATAGCGTAATGATGACGTAGTGTCGTTTTGTTACGGCGTTAATCGTAATGACATAACCATGTCATTGTCAAAATTTTATATTAGTCTTAACAATATAATTAATATTTGCAATACACAATAGCTAGAGAAGTTACTTTACAAATCAAAAAAAAAAATTTTGAAGACCAGGTCAGATTACAAGTTTATTAATCATCTTTTTGAATACAAAGTAAAGTGCTATATACTTGAGCAAGCATAGATTAACCTATTTTAATATATCTAACAAATTTATTTTAAGCAAATAAATTTGAATAAAAACTTTTTTAATTTATTTATCATTATTAACAAATTCTTTCAAGTCATTGAAATATAAAAAAAATTTTTCAAAAAAAAAAATATTTAAAAATCTATATTAATAATTTAATTTTGAAAAATTCAAAAATTTTTTATATTAAATAATTATATATATACATATAATATTTTTTTTTTATTTTAATTATTTAAGAAATTTATTTATTTTCAATCTTAATTTTTATTTTTTTTTTATTTTTTTTGAGTATCCATAATTAAGCTAGATTATAATTTATTAATCAATTAAAACATAAGTATATTTTCACTCAAACAATATAATATATATTAAAACTAAACATTTCTATCAAATCTAACAAACTTGTTATAGGCAATAATAATCTTTAAGTTTAGTTTTAAAAATAATATTTTATTTTATAATGGATTTTAAGTAAATATTTTTCTAATTTATTACTTTATCATCAATAGATTATCATTGTTATATATCTTATCAGGGTATTGAAATACAGAAAATTCA